TAAATGCTTCCTGATCGGTATTTGAGGGCTCAGAATAAAATTGCTAGTTTTTTTAAAAAAAACAAAATGAACAAAGGAAGAAATCAGACTTTGATGGAGTTGTCAAAAGCATTTTTTTTAAAAAAGAGGCATACAGTCAAAGATGAGCTAGTTTCTGCTTGGTCTGTCAGATTGCACAGTGCAACACATACAGATTAGATTTTAGATTCAGAATACGAGCTGGAAGGGATCTTCTGATTTCACAACAGCTAAAACGTTCCATAAATATGAATATTGACTGATTGCTAATATATATATATTCCCCCATGCAAAGCCTAGGCCAGGGGTAGGCAACCATGGCTCTTTTATGACTGGTGGACTTCAATTCCCAGAATTCCTCAGCCAGCGTGGGGGAACTATGGCCCCTTCATGACTCCCGGACTTCAACTCCCAGAATTCCTTAGCCAGCATGGGGGAACTGTGGCCCCTTCATGACTTGCGGACTTCAACTCCCAGAATTCCTCAGCCAGTGTGAGGGAACTGTGGCCCCTTCATGACTCGCGGACTTCAACTCCCAGAATTCCTCAGCCAGCATGGGGGAACTGTGGCCCCTTCATGACTCGTGGACTTCAACTCCCAGAATTCCTCAGCCAGCCTGGCTCAGCTTGGAAACTTCTCTCTTTCCCCTCAGCATGGCTGGCTCAGGAATTCTGGGAGTTGAAGTCCACGAGTCATAAAAGAGCCCAGGTGGCCTACCCCTGGCCTAGGCGATGGGTGAGGTGCAGATTGAGTTCTTTCCCTTTGTACATAAATCACCAGGGGCAGCTTCTGTTTCTTAGCTGGGGAATTACACAGGAGAGGAACGAGCTGCAATCGGATCTAATTAAAGAGTAGGAAGAAATTATTCAGAAATAAGACGGTCACGGTGATGAAAATCTGCAGTTTTTCATTCATCCTGAATCTTACGCTAATCACTATTGTTGCATAACCTGAATACATTAGGTGTCCTTAGTCTGAAGAGCTCCCTCGTCTACCATAACCTCCGATCAGGAAGATAACAAAGAAGAAGAATTAAAATCTAGAAGTCATCGTCCGTTTGCAGCACAGGTGGGGGAAGAAATCTCATTTAAATAATGATATAGACAAATAGATGATATAGACAGACACAAATAGATGATATAGACAGATAAAAACATGATAAATGGATATATATAGAACGATAGATACATGATAAAGACACGATAGATGGATATAGATAACAGATAGATGTTAAAAACATGATGGATAGATATAAAGACATGATAAATGAATAGATATGGAGAGATAATAGACATGATAGATAGATGTTAAAAACATGATAGATGGATAGATATAAATAAAGACATGATAGATGGATAGATATAGATGATAAAGACATGATAGATAGATAGATAGATAGATAGATAGATAGATAGATAGATAGATAGATAGATAGATAGATAGATAGATAGATAGATAGATAGATAGATAGATAGATAGATAGATAGATAGATATGATAAAGATATGATAGATGATAGATAGATAGATATGATAAAGATATGATAGATGATAGATAGATAGATAGATAGATAGATAGATAGATAGATGATGGATGGATATGATAGATAGATAGATAGATAGATAGATAGATAGATAGATAGATATGATAAAAACATGCTAGATAGATAGGTAGGTAGGTAGTTAGGTAGATAGGTAGGTGAGTGGGTGGATATGATAAATACATGCTAGATGGAGATAGATAGATAGACAGATAGATAGATAGATAGATAATGATAAAGACATGCTAGATGGATAGATGGGTAGGTAGGTAGATAGCACCTTTGTTTGAATTATCCCCTTTGCTCATGAGTCCACCCTCCCCTTTTAAGACAAATTACCAACATTCTATATAATTTTCTCAGATTCTTTAGAGGAGAAGCAGGACCAGACACCTTTCAAACCACATGACAGGCCTTTCCAATAGGCACCACAGAAAACGCAGTCACCCCATAAAGGAAAAACTTTCCAGAAATGGTTGGGTCAGCCAAGAAGAGTCACAATGCTGAGCTGCAACCGGCGTTAGGCTCTTCTATTCTGGTCTTAATATTTCACATTATTCTTTTTTTTTTTGTATTGAAAATCCAGTGAGGAGGATTGCAATCCCTTCTGAAGTGAGGAAATGAAAACCCACTCAAGACTGACAGAATCACAATGTCCTTCTTTTTCTCTCTTTTTTCCCCCTTCCTTTCTGTTGTGTGTGTGGAAAGCTGCTAACTCATTACTGATCTCGTGAATGCAAGCAACCTCTGATCTACAATTATGTTATCTTTAAAAAAAAAAAATGCTGAAATTCCCTCTGGTTCTGCACTCAGAATGAAAACAACCATTTGATCTCTCTCATTATTATTATTTTGCAATTGTACTACCTCAGAAACAGGAACAACCGTTGGGGTCTCATTACAATGGGGATGCTAAAAGAGTGGTGAGAAACTCGTTTTAACATTTTGAGAAGAGTGGTAATATTGAGGCTTGTAGCTAGGACCTGCAGCCCCCCTCCTAGTGAGGCCACACCTGGAATACTGCAGCCAATTTTGGTCACCATTATCACCAAAAAGATGTCGAGAGTTTGGAAAAAATTCAGAGAAGAGCAACTAAGATGATCCAAGGCCTGGAGACCAAAACATATGAAGAATGGCTGCGGGATTTGGGTTTGGCTGGTCTAAAGAAAAGAAGAAGTAGGGGAGACATGATAGCAGCATTCTAGTATTTGAGGGGCTGCCACAAAGAAGAGGGGGTCAATTTATTCTCCAAAGCACCAGTGGGAAGGACGAGAAACAATAGTTGGAAACTGACCAAAGAGAGAAGCAACCTGGAATTAAGGAGAAACTTCCTAACAGTGAGGACAATTAACCAGTGGAACAACTTGCCTCTAGAAATCGTGGGCGCTCCATCACTGGAGATTGCTAAGAAGAGACTGGACTTGTCTGAGATGGTATATAGGTTCTCCTGCTTGAGTAGGGGGCTGGACTAGAAGACCTCTAAGGTCCCTTCCAGCTCTATTCTATTCTATTCTATTCTATTCTATGTCCTATTCTAATTCTATTCTATTCCTTTATTCTATTCCTATTCTATTCTATTCCTTTATTCTATTCCTATTCCTATTCTATTCCTTTATTCTATTCCTATTCTATTCTATTCTATTCCTTTATTCTATTCCTATTCCTATTCTATTCTATTCCTTTATTCTATTCCTATTCTATTCTATTCCTTTATTCTATTCCTATTCCTATTCTATTCTATTCTATTCCTTTATTCTATTCTATTCTATTCTATTCTATTCCTATTCTATTCTATTCCTTTATTCTATTCTATTCTATTCCTTTATTCTATTCTATTCTATTCTATTCTATTCTATTCTATTCTATTCTATTCTATTCTATTCTATTCCATTCCATTCCATTCCATTCCATTCCTTTTGGAAACAGATGAATCTCACAAGCTGTAAAGAATATCAAGCTTTGTTTTCAATCTGGAAAGAGAATAGGTAGCAATCCCTTTTAACAATTAACAGTCACCTGCAAAATATTTAAGGGTGAAGATAATAATATGAGAGCGACAGGTAGCCCTCAACGCAGGGCCACAGTTGAGCCTGAATTCTCTGTTGCTAAGCAAAACACACGTTAAGTGAATTTTGCCCCATTTTATCACCTTCCTTGCCACGAATCCCTGCTGTTTTTAAGTTAGGAACACGGTTGTTAAATCAATCTGACTTCCCCATTGACACTGCTTGTCAGAAGGCCGCAAAACGGGACGGTGTGACCCTGGGGGACACTGCGACCGTCATAAATACGAGTCAGGTGCCAAGGGTCTGAATTTTTATCCGGTGACCACGAGGATGCCGCAACCACGAGGTGGGTGTAAGTGTGAAAAACGGTCCTAAGTCACTTTTTTCCAGTGCCGTTGTAATTTTGAACGGTCACTAAATGAAAAGGGTGTTGAGTAGAGGGCTCCCCGTAAAGGAAGAACGACACAATTTTCACACGAATGGGTCCTTTATTCGGTATGCGATGCCAGCCATCTTCTCTGACTTTGGGAATCGCAATAAGCCAAACTATCGGGATTCTGTCCTTCCCTCCCCCTTCAAGTGTTTACATTCCCTCGTGCGTGTTCCCGCGTCACCTTGAATTCAGTTAAGGAGTCACACAATTGCGTTCACACAATCTGCCGTGCCTGGTTAGTTTAAAGCTTGTTACCGGCCTAGCTGCTCTATCAATTTGGTTCGTCGTGGATGGGTGCAATTTATAGAGCGAAAACTTCTCTCCAGAAGTTGTGGGTCCTCCATCACTGGAGGCTTTTAAGAAGATATTGGACAACCCTTTGTTTGAAATGGTATGTAGCAGTGGTGGCGAACCTATGGCACGCGTGCCAGAGGGGGGTACTCAGAGCCCTCTCTGTGGGCATGTGCACCTCGCTCTTTGGCTAAGTTTTCGCAGCCCCTTCCTAGCCAAAGCAAACCTCCGGAGCGAGCGCGCTGTTTTCAGCTTTGAATTATATCAAACCTGACACCAGAAACAAGACGAACAGATGACCGGAGTGCTGCGTGTGTTGCTCTCAAACTTACAAAGTATGAGCCAAGGTTAGGCAAATGATCAGCAGGCATACAACAGCAAAAATCACATTAATTGTTCAAAAGCGTGCCAAACGCAAACGGTTTACCTTTCGGTAAAAAGCTGTTTGTATCACTGAAAGATTTGTTATTCGTTTTTTCTTTTAAGACAAAAGAAGTTAAGGTACGAGTTGTTTTTTTTTTCCTAAACTAAAACCTCGGTATTCAGATTAAATTGCCGTGTTGGCACTTTGCGATAAAGAAGTGGGTTTGGGGTTGCAGTTTGGGCACTCGGTCTCTCAAAGGTTCGCCATCACTGGTATATAGGGGTCTCCTGCCTGAACGAGGGGGTTGGACTAGAAGACCTGCAGGGTCCCTTCCGACTCTGTTATTCTGTACAGTTAAGTCCTTGGCTTACGACTGCCGCCCAGCCCAAAATTTCCACCGCTAAGCAAGACAGTGAAGAGAGCATTGCCCCGTTTTACGACCTTGCTTGCCACAGTGGCTAAGCGAATCGCCGCAGCCGTTAAGCAAATCTGGCTTCCCCCGTCGACTTTGCTTGTCGCAACGGGGGATCACGTGACTCTGGAGGACACTGCAACCGTCATAAATGCGAGTCAGTCGCCAAGCATCTGAATGTTGATCACATGACCCTGGGGACGCTGCGACAGTCATATATGTAAAACGGTCCTAAGTCAATTGTACCAATTTACATCAGACATAAAGGTATTTAAAGGCCAGTGCTCTGACAAACGAGCACGATTCCAAGTGTGCTGAAAATGTCCCTCCACCCCGAACGGAGACAAAATCTTTGCAGCCAAAACGCCAAGCTCGGAGATCGAACCCACAGCCCAACAGTCCTAAGTCACTTTTTTCAGCGCTGTTGTAATTTAATAAACTGTTGTTAAGTCCAGGACATACTCCAGCTGCAAACTTCAGCGCCTGGCGTGAAAGGCAACTGATGCGACCGGTTGGGGAAAGCCTTCAGAGGTACGGGTCTTTTCCTTCGTCCACGTTGTCCCCCACAAGGTCCCCCTCATTGTCCTCCGGGTCAGACACGGGCAGCCCGTGGCCACCTGGGAGAGGTTCCAAAACGGTGCTGCGCATGGTGGTGCGTACACTGCTAGGTGAGCACCTGTGGGAGCCCAGTTTCTGGAAGCGTCGTTGGCACATCACGTCCTTGAACATCTCGCGGAAGCGGCTGGACATCAGGTTGTAGAGGACGGGGTTGGCGGCCGAGCTCAGGTAGAAGAAGACCCCGGAGATGATGTGAACGTACTGGAACATGTGTTGCATCCGGTCAGTCCAGTGAGTGACGAAGCTCCAGACCAGCCGGTCGGTGTGGAAGGGGGCCCAGCAGATGCCAAACACGACCACCAGCACGACTGGGGGGACAAGGACAGGGAAGCAGAGTTATTGGGGAGGAAAAGCTTGGGACTGATTGGCTAAAGGAGAAGAGCCTCCTCCGTTCTAGCCAATCAATGGAGAAGCTAGCCCAAGGTTAAAACTGTGAGGTGTGTCTGTTTTCTTGCAGACATTTCATTACCCAACTAGGTAATATGATCAATGCCGGGAGGAGGAGGAGGAGGAGGAGGAGGATTGTAGAGCCAATCACTTTGGACCAATCACCAGAACAGTGAGTTCTAGTCCTGATTTAGCCATGAAAGCTGGCTGGGTGACTTTGCACCAATCACCAGGAGACTGCGAGTTCTAGTCCCACCTCAGGCTGAAAACCCGGCTGAGTAACTTTGGACCCATCACCAGGAGACTGCGAGTTCTAGTCCCACCTTAGGCAGGAAAGCTGGCTGGGTGACACTGGACCAATCACCAGGAGACTGTGAGTTCTAGTCCTACCTTAGGCCTGAAAGCCAGCTGAGTGACTTTGGGCCAATCACCAGGTGGCTGTGAGTTCTAGTCCTACCTTAGGCCTGAAAGTCGGCTGAGTGACTTTGGGCCAATCACCAGGTGGCTGTGAGCTCTAGTCCCGCCTGAGTCATGAAAGCCGGCTGGGTGACTTTGGGCCAATCACCAGGAGACTGTGAGTTCTCGTCCTACCTTAGGCCTGAAAGCCGGCTGAGTGACTTTGGGCCAATCACCAGGTGGCTGTAAGTTCTCGTCCTGCCTGAGTCATGAAAGCCGATTGAGTGACTTTGGGCCAATCACCAGGTGGCTGTGAGTTCTAGGCCCGCCTGAGTCATGAAAGCCGGCTGGGTGACTTTGGGCCAATCACCAGGAAAAGGTGAGTTCTTGTCCCGCCTTAGGAATGAAAGCCAGCTGGGTGACTTTGGGCCAATCATGCACTCTCACAGCCCAACCCACCTTACAGGGTTGTCATTTTGGGGGGGGGGGGAAATCAGTGGAGGAAGATGAGTTGGATCGTGTTCACTGCCGAGTGATTTATCAAAATAATAGAGCCGGGACACAAAGAAATAAAACAAAAATAAAATAAAATTCAAACCCTGGTTCTTCATGGACCTAGCCCAACAAGTTTTGCTGGCAAAAATATGGAAGTCGTTCACCTCTAGCTTGGTCCTTTCTCACATGCTTTATGTTGCTGCCTGCAAGTTCGTGGGAAAGGGGTGGCCTTTCTGACATTTGGGCCCTTGCCCTGAGCATCCACAGGGAGAGGCAAAGCAGGGCACGTGACTTCATACATGACATTGCCATGTATGTTTTGGGATCGTCATGGCTACTTTTGATAATATTTTATTGATTTTCTCATTTTGCAGTTGGGTATTTAAAAAGCAGTGTGATGGCTGGGTTGATCAATAGTTCAATTTATTGATTTTTCTCATTTTGCAGTTGGGTATTTAAAAAGCAGTGTGATGGCTGGGTTGATCAATAGTTCAATAGTGTAAATAATAATAATAAAAGTTGGAAGGTACCTTGGAGGTCATCTAGTCCAACCCCTTGCTCCGGCAGGAAACCCTATACCACTTCAGATAAATGGCTGTCCAGTCTCTTCTTAAAAACTTCTGGAGGCAAGTTGTTCCACTGGTTAATTGTTCTAACTGTTAACCAGTGGAACAACCTGCATCCAGACATAAGTCTTAAGGATAAATGTTACAAAATCAAATATTTCCTCTTTTTTTCCATTAATATCTGCTAAGGAGAAACTTCCTGACAGTTAGAACAATTAACCAGTGGAACAACCTGCCTCCAGAAGCGGTGAATGCTCCAACATTGGAAGTTTTTAAGAAGAGACTGGACAGCCATTTGTCTGAAATAGTGTAGGGTTTCCTGCCTGAGCAGGGGGTTGGACTAGATGACCTCCAAGTTCCTTTCCAACTTTTATTATTATTATTATTATTATGGATCATCGCACAGTCAGCCAGATGTTCAGACTGGATTTGGCATTTTATCTACCTATCGAGTCCTTACCCAGGACCTGGGATAGGCAGATGTGGATGTTTGATGGTATTACAGGTATCGTCGCAGGATGGAAGCAGTTCCTATAAGGCTGCCTTTTGCAATTGACTAATAGCGAATTTGTCAATGCCAATGGTGTTCAAGTGGTGCTCCAGTTGTTTTGGGATTGCACCCAAGGAGCCTATGACTATTGGTACTACCCTTGCTTGCTTTTGCCACAGTCTTTCTATTTCTATTTGTAGGTCTTTGTATTTTGTTATCTTCTCCAATTCTTTCTCTTCTATTCTGCTGTCTCCAGGCACTGCCACGTCCACTATCCAGACTTTTTTGTCTTTCTTATCGACAATTGTTAAGTCTGGGGTGCTTTGTTGTTGTTGTTGTTGTTGTTATTATCATCATCAACTAGATAAAAGCATATTCATTACAGTTATCAATAATTTTTAGCATATACCAGTGGTGGGGAACCTATGGCACGGGTACCAGACGCGGCACTCAAGAGTCCTCTCTGTGGGCACGGGTGCCGTCGCCCCAGTCCGAGGCCTTCAGCTGGGTTTTATAAAACCTTTTCGCTTTAGGCCTCTGCCGCCGTGTGCAAAAAAAAAAAAAAAAAAAAAAGGTTCAATCATCAATTTCAACTTCTTGCGGGGGGGGGGGGGGGGAAAGATCGTGCAAAGTTGGAATTGATTGATTGAACTTTTTAGTCCCACCAAGTCTGCCGTTACTACCGTAGCCACGCCTACACAATGGGCCATGCCCAGCCAATAGGCCACACCCATCCGGCACTCGACGATGCATAAGTGGGTTTTGGGTTGCAGTTTGGGGACTCAGTCTCTAAAAGGTTCGCCATCACTGGTATATACGTATCTTAATTGCATTTGCACTTCATCCTTGTATACAATTAATGTCTTGTTATTGCTTCCCCCCCCCCCTTCCAGGCTTTAATTTTCCATCAATCTTCCAATTACCACTATTATTTATGATTTCTAAGTATTGTATATTTAGGTGACTCAAGTTTCCCTTATCTCTCAACTTCTCCCTTTTTCCCTTTTCCTAGCCCAGTGGTTCTCAACCTTTTTAATGCCGCGACCCCCAACCAGTTGTAAGTTGAGGACTACTCAACCGGTCATAAGTCGAGGACTACTCAACTGGTGCAGCACCGTTTGCAGAAGGGGACTTTTGGCGGGCTCAGCAGGGCAGAGACAGCCTGGACAATTCCTATTGGCTTTGGAAAGCCAATAGAATTAGACTCTATTCAAGAGAGTCTCTTCTATTGGCTTTCAAAAGCCAATAGAATAAAAGGGAGGAGCACAGCTAGGGAAAAGGGGGAAAAAATGGTGGACTGCGTTGTTTGGCGACCCTCGTGAAATGGTCGTTCGACCCCAAATGGGGTCCCGACCCACAGGTTGAGAACCACTGTCCTAGCCAAAGTCTAATATTCTGGTGACACATCTTATCTGACGTTCTGACAACGTCCTGCTATAGACATACAGATAGGTCTCAACTTAACAAACCACAATTGGAACCACAGTGGAGTTTCCTCTGCTAAGTGAGGCAGTTGTTAAGTTGACTTGCAGGCAATTTGTGCCTTTTTTTTTTTTTAAGGAGTCACTGCAGTTGTTAAGGAGATCATTTGGTCATTAAGCGAATCCAGATCCCCCCCCCCCCCGACTTCGCTTGTCGGAAGCTTGGCTGGGACGGTGATCGCCAATGGTGATCACATGATTGTAATAAATGCATGCTGGTCGCCAAGCATCCCAATTTTTCATCGTGTGACCGTGCTACAACAGTCATAAAGGCGAGGACTGATTGCGAAATCACGTTTTCCAGTGCTGTTGCAACTTTGAATGCTCACTATAATAATAATAATAATAATAATAATAATAATAATAATAATAATAATAATGTTGGAAGGGACCTTGGAGGTCATCTAGTCTACCCCCTGCTCAGGCAGGAAACCCTGTACCATTTCAGACAAAGGGCTATCCAGTCTCTTCTTAAAAACTTCCAGTGTTGGAGATGGGAGGGAGGGAAGGAGGGAGGGAGGGAGGAAGGAAGGAACAGAATAACACACTCGGACGGGATCTTGTAGGTCATCTAGTCCAACCCCCCGCTCAGGCAACAAACCCTATACCATTTCAGACAAATGGCTGTCCAGTCTCTTCTTGAAAATTTCCAGTGTTGGAGTATTCACCACTTCTGGAGGCAGGTTGTTCCGCTGGTTAATTGTTCTCACTGTCAGGAAGTTTCTCCTTAGTTCTAGGTTGCACTAAGCCAATGCTGGTAAATTGAAAGCTACCTGTAGGTCCATGCACACATTGATTGTTGTGTAAAGAACACAATCCTCTTAAGGAGTCTCTTTAAGCAGGAACTCTATAGTTTTCCTGGAAATCTTTTCTCTTGTCTGCCAAGTCCCTCACTTCTACTGTGCCCACTCTTTGGCTGGTGGTAAAAAAATAAATTGAGCCCAGCCCAAGTCAGTTAACATCTAACAGATTTACAGAGTTGGAAGGGACCTGGGAGGTCATCTAGTCCAACCCCCTGGCTCAGGCAGGAAGCCCTATCCCATTTCCGACAAACGGTTGTCCAATCTTTCCTTAAAAAACTTCCAGTGTTGGAGCATCCACAGCTTCTGGAGGCAAAGGTTATCTCCAAATCTGCATTTACACAGCCCCGCTGTGTAAAGGTTACTTATTAACCTTGGGCTGTCTTCCTCAGGGTGTGTACCTCTTGGTGTGTGGTGCAAATCCAACCTGTTTGTCGCTCTACGGCTCCCCGCATTGGGCCATCTCAGGGAAAACGAGGTTGATTTGTGGGTATTTTTACGTTTATACGTCAAATGTCAAAAAACGCCCATCGATCGCACGGAGGGACGCCGGGGTTAATTCAATTACCAGGTTCAGCTTGTTCGACGTAGGCTGTGAAATTGCCAAAGAGGTTGCACAATGCTGGGTTTTGGGGTCTGCCAGCAGCCTCTAATTTTCTGCCTGATTGCCACGCTTCAATCTGTCGCCCGTTCCTCTCCCTCCTGCAGGGGGGAAACTAATCTGTAGGGGCGAAACAGAATTCCAGCAGTGACATGTACTTGAAAGGCTGTTCAAATCAGCCGCTTTGCTTTCCTGCTGAAAGGTACACTAATGACAGAACAACAGAGTGGGAAGGGACCTTGGAGGTCATCTAGTCCAACCCCCTGCTCAGGCAGGAAACCCTACACCATTTCAGACAAAGGGCTGTCCAGTCTCTTCTTCTTAAAAACTTCCAGTGTTGGAGCATTCACCGCTTCTGGAGGCAGGTGGTTCCACTGGTTAATTGTTCTCACTGTCAGGAAGTTTCACCTTAGTTCTAGGTTGCTTCTCTCCTTGATTAGTTTCCAACCTTTGCTTCTTGTCCTGCCTGCAGGGGCTTTGGAGAAGAGCTTGACTCCCTCTTCTTTGGGGCAACCCCTGAAATACTGGAAGACTGCTATCATGTCCCCCCTCGTCCTTCTCTTTATTAAACTAGACATACCCAATTCCAGCAACCGTTCTTTATATGTTTTATCCTCCAGTCCTCTAATCATCTTTGTGGCTCTTCTCTGCACTTTCTAGAGCAGTGGTTCTCAACCTTTTTAATGCCGCCACCCCCAACCGATCGTAAGTCGAGGACTACTCAACCGGTCGTAAGTCGAGGACTACTCAACTGGTGCAGCACCGTTTGCAGAATGGGACTTTTGGCAGGCTCAGCAAGGCAGAGACAGCCTGGACAATTCCTATTGGCTTTTGAAAGCCAATAGAATTAGACTCTATTCAAGAGAGTCTATTCTACTGGCTTTCAAAAGCCAATAGAATAAAAGGGAGTAGCACAGCTAAGGAAAAGGGGGGGAAAAATGGCGGACTGCGTTGTTTGGCGACCCCCGTGAAATGGTCGTTCGACCCCAAATGGGGTCCCGACCCACAGGTTGAGAACCACTGTTCTAGAGTCTCAGCATCTTTTTCATAGCAAGCTGACCAAAACTGGATGCATTTAATAGGCACATTTGTATGCCTGCACCATCAAATTGACTCTTAGCGGCTCACTTAGAAAATACGATACAAAGAGACCCTGTCTTAAGTATTAAAATGGCACTATAAAAATAGAAAGTGGATAAGTGTTTTCCGTGCATTTGCATTCGATAATACTTATAGCGGTGAGCGTGTGTGCTGAAGCGTGGCAGCAAATTGCTCATTAGTTCTGCCCTCCGATATCGTGTTCACAATTTCCCTCCCTTTCGTCGCTCACTGAGGCTTCATTCTGCTCGGAACAGAACGGAGTTCTCGGCAAGCTTTGGAACTGAATAACTGAATAGAGCCGAGGTGGCGCAGCAGTTAGAGTGCAGTACTGCAGGCTATTTTAGCTGACTGTGTTCAGCAGGTCAGCGGTTCAAATCTCACCGGCTCAAGGTTGACTCAGCCTTCCATCCTTCCGGGGTAGGTAAAATGAGGACCCAGATTGTTGGAGGCAATGTAAATATATATATACATTGCTTACTGGTGTACACCACTTAGAGAGTGCTTGCACTTAAAGCGGTATATAAGTCTCATAAATAAATAAATAAATAAATAAATAACCAGGTTAGAAGATTGATAGATAAAACACCGGAGGGAATACTACAGGTAGCTCTTGATTCATGCCACGTCTAGGAGCAGAATTTCCATGGCTGAGGAAGGTGGTTCTTAAGTGAACTATGACCCATTTTACAACCTTATTTGGCCTGGTTGTTAAGCGAATCGTGCAGTCGTTAAGCAAATCCAGCTGGCCCCATTGGCTTTGCTTGTCGGACGCCGGCTGGGAAAGTCGCAAACGGGGATTGTGTGTCCACAGGACACCGCAACTGTCATAAATGTATGTTGGTTGCCTGAATTTTGATCACATGACTACGAGGATACTGCGACGGTCATTAAGTGGCGAGGGCCAGCTCTAAGTCATGCTTTTCAATGCTGCTTTTGTCACGCTGCCAACATTGGATGTTTTTGCATTGACAACAGAGACAAATGTAGCCCTCTGTTATCTTTTGCTTTTAGAGTTAGATGAGAGTCTGGCTAGACATAACAATGCTAAAACTAGCGTGAGGATCAAGGTTATTGTAACCAGAGCTGATAAGGACTTGGTGGGCTGGAGAGCTGGAGAGGAAGCCTGTGGCTTCAAGCTAATTGGGGAATGTGATTTATGACTGTTAATTGGAGGAGGGAATTGTGCTTTGGTACTATGTGCTCAGGGGAGGGGAATTCAGTTTTTGGTTTCGATTATGAAGTGCTGAAGTTACGCTACTCAGAATAAAGATTCTTTAAGGTAAACAATGCCTCGAAGTTCTTTCAAAGAGTTTCATCTGCGGAACCAGGATAGCTGTATCTTGAACTCTCACTCAATGAATGGTTATTAAGTCGAGGATTATCTGCAGACATGGGGAAGTCAGTCCTAACGAGGAGTTTGGTGATCCTGTTCCAGGGGTATTTGGGGAAAATCTCACCTGGAACTCCAGAATTGGAAGAGATTATGGAGAATCGTCTACTCCAGGGATGTCCAGTCTTGGTAGGAGAGAATCTCTGTAGCGCAAGGTTGTACTGTGGTTCTCTGACATTGGTTGACTTCTTGCAGACGTTTCATGACCTAACTAGGTAACATCATCAGTGCTAGAAGGGAGTGGGGTGTGCAGTGAGGAGGAGGAGAACTGTTGAATTCTTGATACTTTTTGAGCTTGCTTGTTTTCTCGCAGACATTTCTTTACCGGACTATGTAACGTCACCAGTGCTGCAAAGCTGAGTGCTAACTCTTCTCCCTTCTAGCACTGATGATGTTACCTAGTTTGGGAAATGAAACATCTGAAAGAAAACAGTCAAGCTCAGAGACCAGCAAGGACCCCACAGTTCTCCTCCTCCTCCTCTTCATCTCCACAAACCCTTCTAGCACTGATGATGTTACCTAGTTGGCTAATGAAACGTCTGCAAGCAAACCACCGAGAGTTCAATCATGAGTGTTTGCTCAATATTGGAAAAAATGAAAACCTACCAACGGAAGAAGAACTAATTAAGAAAATCTTAGATTGTGCAGAAAGGGACAGGCTGACATTGAAGATGAAAGAGAAAGAAGATTCAGTATACTTTAGAACAGAGGTCCCCAACCTATTGGGCACCAGGGACCGGTTCCGCGGAGAGAGGTTTTTCCGTGGACCGGAATGTGTGTGTGTGGTTTTATGTGCTGCCTGCATCCTGTGGATGGGGCTTTCCTTGTTTGTGCAGATCGGTTGCTGGCATGCTGCAGCCCGGTGCCAATCCACGGACCGGGGGCTTTAGAACATGGGATGATTTTTATCTATGGCTAGAAAAATGAGTTAGAGAAAAAGGAACGTGATATGTACCATGTAACATTAAATATGTATTAGTAAGAAGAAGACCATCGGGTGAAATGAAGATGTAAGAAACATATTATTAACTAACATACTGATTAGCAAAACGTAGAAACTAATTATTATTGATTGTTTTTTAAATACGAATCCAGACAACGTGCTGTTTGCTAAATACTGAAGAATGTTATTCTATAAAAATTAATAAAATATATACAAAAAAAAAGTTCTGCAAAAAAACCCACTTATAAACTCAGCTCAGAGAACAGCATGGACTCCAAAGCCATCGTCGTTGTCCTCCTCTTCCTCCCCCCCCCACCCCTTTCTAGCACTGATGATGTTACCTAGCTGGGTAACGAAACGTCTACAAGAAAACAAGCAAGCTCAGAGAGCGCCAAGGACCCCACAATCCTTCCTCCTCCCTTCTAGCACTGATGGTGTTACCTAGCCTGGTAATGAAATGTTCAGAAACCAACCCCATCAGCCTGTTCTTTTCCCACAGGTCAACCCAGTTGGAAGCCTCCTCAGATGCCCGATCCCAGTTTTCGACCCTTGGGGCCCTTCCCCTTCAACTTACACAACATATTGGTCACCTGCCTCCGCCGAGCCTTCTTCTGCTGGAGGCGGACGTTGTGGTAGTCGGACCAGCTTCCTGATTTGGCCTCTAGAGCCTCCAGCAGCTTCTCCTTCCGCAGCTGCAGGCCGATGAGCAGATAGAGGACGCTGATGATGGCCATGGGGATGAAGAAGAAGATGACGGTGGTGATCTGGATGAGGAGGTTGTAGATCAACGGGGACTTCACCAGGGTGCAGGTGTCCGAGTCGGGAACCACACCCCATCCGGGCACGTAGAGAGTCTGTAACCCGTGTAGGCTTGTGTTCGGGATGGAGCAGACAATGGAGAGGACCCACAACGTGACGATCACCTTCTGGGTGTGGTTTTTGGTCACCACGTACTTCGCCTTGAGCGGGTGGACCACAGCAATGTAGCGCTCCACGCTGAGGGCCGTCACGTTGAGGATGGAGGCGAAGCAGACGGCCTCAAAGAGCAGGGTCTTAAAGCAGCAGCCCCCGGCCCCTAAGAGGAAGGGGTAGTTGCTCCACATCTCGTAAATCTCCAACGGCATGCCCAGCAGAAGCACCAGGAGGTCTGAGATGGCCAGGCTGAAAAGGTAATAGTTGGTGGGCGTCCTCATGAAGCGGTGCTGGATGATCACCAAGCAGGTCATGAGGTTGCCCAGGGCTCCCACCACAAAAATCAGCAGGTAGGTGGTGCAGACGGGAACGAAAAAACCTGACCGACGGGGTCCCAGGTATCGGAGGCGCAGTTCCTCGGCTGTCATGTTTAGGACCTCGGGGTTGAAGGGACTCGGTTTCCCCTCCGGCGTGCTGCCGTTGCACACGTCTCCAGAAGCCGCCGGGTTTAGCAGCTCCATGGGGGAGAACTGGAAGTCCAGCTTGGTGCAGTTGGCAGAAGATGAGGAGATGACTTCAGACTGGAAGAAGAGAAGCACAGTGAGCGATGTGTGGGCGAATCTGAAGGCTAGGATCAGACTATCACAATGACAAGAGCTGGAAGGGACTTTGGAGGTCTTCTAGTCCAGCCCCCTGCTCAAGCAGGAGAACTTTTACCATTTCCTTACAAATGATTGTCCCATCTCTTCTTTTTTAAAAAAAATTTTTTTTTTTAATTAATTTTCTAATTATTAACCTGGTGACTGGGTTAATCAATAGTTCAATAACAAAACCTTCAGTGCAAATCTCAGATTACAGTATCAGATATTTCTTCTCTTTTTACCTTAACATTCACTGTCTCCTATTCAAGCTAGTGCAATTCTAATCATATCAATAAAAACATCATTATTACATTTATCAATACATTTTTAGCTTGTACATATCTTAATTACATTCAATCTTCATAAACAATCCATATCCTTTTATTAATGTTTACATAATTTTTAATTTCTCATCCATATTCCAATTTAACCGTTCAATATCCATAGTTTTCAGACGTTGGGTAACCAAGATTTCCCTCATCTCACTTCACAACAAACTATAATAGCCAAAATACACATTTTACCTATTTAAATGGAATCTTGTTCTACTTCCTAAAAGTTCTCTATTTCCCACCATATTCAATCATCTACTTCATAATACAATATCCCCTTTGATTAAATCAAAACCGTTATACATACAGGTGAAACTTGAAAAATTAGAATATTGTGCAAAAGTTCATTTCTTTCAGTAATGCAACTTCAAAAGTGAAACTAATATATGAGATAGACTCATTACATGCAAAGCAAAATAGTTCAAGCCGTGATGGATCATAAGGGAGATGATTTTGGCTTATAGCTCATGAAAGTCCCAAATCCACAATCTCAGAAAATTAGAATATGACATGCAATCAATAAAACAAGGATTGTACATAGAACCATCTCGGACCTCTGAAAAGTATAAGCATGCATTATGTACTCAGTACTTGGTTTGGGCCCCTTCTGCAGCAATTACTGCCTCAATGCGGCGTCGCATGGAAGCGATCAGCCTGTGGCACTGCTCAGGTGTCATGGAAGACCAGGATGCTTCAACAGCGGCCTTCAGCTCTTCTGCATTGGTCGGTCTCGTGTCTCTTATCTTTCTCTTGGCAATGCCCCATAGATTCTCTATGGCAGTGGTTCTCAACCTGTGGGTCGGGACCCCATTTGGGGTCGAACGACCATTTCACGGGGGTCGCCAAACAACGCAGTCCGCCATTTTTTTCCCTTTTCCTTAGCTGTGCTACTCCCTTTTATTCAACTGGCTTTTGAAAGCCAATAGAATAGACTCTCTTGAATAGAGTCTAATTCTATTGGCTTTCCAAAGCCATTAGGAATTGTCCAGGCTGTCCCTGCCCTGCTGAGCCCGCCAAAAGTCCCATTCTGCAAACGGTGCTGCTGCACCAGTTGAGTAGTCCTCGACTTACGACCGGTTGAGTAGTCCTCGACTTACGACCGGTTGGGGGGGGGGGTCGTGGCATTAAAAAGGTTGAGAACCACTGCTCTATGGGGTTCAGGTCAGGTGAGTTTGCTGGCCAATCAAGCACAGTAATCCCACAGTCATTGAACCAGGTTTCGGTGCTTTTGGCAGTGTGTGCCGCTCCATTCTTCCTCCAGACTCTGGGTCCTTGGTTCCCAAATGAGATGCAAAAGTTGCTCTCATCAGAAAAAAGGACTTTGCACCACTGAGCAACAGACCAGTTCTGTTTTTCTTTAGCCCTGGGTAAGGCGCATCTGACGTTGCTTGTTGTTCAGGAGCGGCTTGACAAGAGGAATACGACATTGGAAGCCCATGTCCAGGATCCGTCTGTGTGTGGTGGCCCTTGATGCACTGACTCCAGCCTTAGTCCACTCCTTGTGAAAGTCCCCAACATTTCTGAATGGCCTTTTCCTGACAATCCTTTCCAGGCTGCGGTCATCGCTGCTGCTTGCGCACCTTTTTCTTCCACACTTTTCCCTTCCACATAAATTTCTATTAATGTGCTTTGATACAGCACTTTGGGAACATCCAACTTCGTTTGCAATTATCTTTTGAGGCTTTCCCTCCTTATGGAGGGTGTCAATGATGGTTTTCTGCACAACTGTCAGGTCAGCAGTCTTTCCCATGATTGTGATTCCTACTGAACCTGACTGAGAGACCATTTAAAGCAGTGGTTCTCAACTTTTTTAATGCTGCGACCCCCAACCGGTCGTAAGTCGAGGACTACTCAACCGGTCGTAAGTCGAGGACTACTCAACTGGTGCAGCACTGTTTGCAGAATGGGACTTTTGGAGGGCTCAGCAGGGCAGGGACAGCTTGGACAATTCCTATTGGCTTTGGAAAGCCAATAGAATTAGACTCTATTCAAGAGAGTCTATTCTATTGGCTTTCAAAAGCCAATAGAATAAAAGGGAGTAGCATAGCTAAGGAAAAGGGGGAAAAAATGGCGGACTGTGTTGTTTGGCGACCCCCGTGAAATGGTCGTTCGACCCCAAATGGGGTCCCGACCCACAGGTTGAGAACTACTGATTTAAAGGCTCAGGAACCCTTTGCACGTGTTAGCTGATTAGAGTGGGACACTTTGAGCCTAGAATATTGAACCTTTTCACAATATTCTAATTTTCTGAGATTGTGGATTTGCGGTTTTCATGAGCTGTAAGCCATAATCATCTCACTTATGACACATCACGGCTTGAACTATCTTGCTTTGCATGTAATGAGTCTATCTCATATATTACTTTCACCTTTGAAGTTGCATGACTGAAAGAAATAAACTTTTGCACAATATTCTAATTTTTCGAGTTTCACCGGTATACTGCCTGGGTTAATCCATAAATCAAACATATTCATGATGATTCATTTTCTTTTCCCCTTTAAAGGTTGTCCCATCTCTTCTTGAACGCTTCCAGCGATGAAGCACTCATAACTGCTGGAGGCCCACTTCCCTTCCATTGATGAATCGGTCTAACTGTCAGGAAATCACAATTTGTGGGTTTGTTTGGGTTTGGGTTTTTTTTTTCCCCGGTTTCCAGTAAAACATAAAATAACACCCACTGGGGAAGCAGGATTCACTTAGAGATCATGTGATGTGCTTAATAACCATGCGATTCGCTTAAGGACCCCTGGGAAAAAAAAACTTGTAAAATCGGTTCTACTCAACTCGCAACTACAACTTATAGTGAGGGTTCCTGTGCCAATTGCGGTCGTAAGTCAAAGACATTGGTCGCCAATTTCCTGTACAGGGAGTCCCTTATTGCCACTATTTTTTTTTAGTGACCGCTCCAAGTTACGACAGCGGTCGTAATCAAAATCCAGCTTTGGACAAATCCCTGGATTAATTAACGACTTGATCCAGTTGAGGAGTTTGCGAAATAAAGCAAGACTTGTGATTTTTCTGAATCTCCACCATTTGGCAGATTTTAGAGGCAGGAGAAAACATTTGTCATTCTGGTTTCATCCTCAAACTACCACCACATTCCCTAAAGAGACCCATACATGATTTAGGATATGTCATCCCGGCTCATTTATAATACTGGTGTAATGTTTTGCAGCCGGTCTTTTTATATTGGCTGAAATTGTTTGTCATTTGCCGATGTACGTTATAAGGTAAAGGATGCAGATTTAAGCAAAAGATGTAAATTTAAATTGCATCTCGGCACAACTGACATAAATTTTACCAGCAACATAAATCTGGATTGAACAGACTAGGGAATCAACAGATATTTCTACTCTCAAGTGATCTATTAAATTGATTTGATTGTGCCTGAACTATCAGCTAACCACAGGAATACACCCAGATTAAGGTAAAACCGTCAAGATGGCAGCTATGCCCATCGGATCAACGCCCCATTTGTTTTCCACATCCCTTAGTTTACCAGCACAGTAAATCACACACACACACAAAAATTAAAGAATATTAACTCCAATTCAGCTTAGGATGCTGTATATATTCCTAGAAGTGAGCAATAGAAAGCATCATGTATCTTCTTTCACACACATATAGAGGACAGATTCTCAGTCATCCAGGTCAGGGTTTGTCCCAAAGCTGCTATTTTTCATTAGGCAACTGGACTTCCTTATTTTTCCTTTGAAGACGTTTCGCTTCTCATCCCAGAAGCTTCTTCAGCTCTGACTGGACGGTGGGGAATGGAAGGATTTATATGCCTTGCAGACCGCTGGTCATTTGCCTTCTTTTAGAGCAGGGGGTCTTCAAACTTGGCCCTTTTATGACTTGTGGACTTCAACTCCCAGAATTCCTCAGCCAGCGTGCCAAGTCTGAAGACCCTTGTTTTAGAGCAGTGGTTCTCAACCTGTGGGTCGGGACCCCATTTGGGGTTGAACGACCATTTCACGGGGGTCACCAAACAACGCAGTCCGCCATTCCCCCCCCCCTTTTCCTTAGCTGTGCTACTCCCTTTTATTCTATTGGCTTTTGAAAGCCAATAGAAGAGACTCTCTTGAATAGAGTCTAATTCTATTGGCTTTCCAAAGCCAATAGGAAGTGTCCAGGCTGTCTCTGCTGAGCCCACCAAAAGTCCCATTCTGCAAACAGTGCTGCACCAGTTGAGTAGTCCTCGACTTACGACCGGTTGAATAGTCCTCGACTTACAACCGGTTGGGGGTCACGGCATTAAAAAGGTTGAGAACCACTGTTTTAGAGGGTTGTTAAGACCATTTGGAGTTTTATATATGTCCTCAGGGTCACCTGGGTGGTGCAAATGGGTGTGGAGCCTTCAATTCTATTTCTATTCTTACTCTTATCCTATCCTACCCTACACAGGTGTTTCTTACCTGCAAAAGGAGTCCCAACTTTTATTATTACTATTACTATTATTATTATCATTATTACTATTACTATTATTAATTAAACAGGTTGATGGAGCCACCCAACTCACAGCCAGCGACACTGGATGGAGGTCAGCATCGCTTTTGATGCATTGATTGTGCTGCAGCCCCCTCCCCCCATATAGGAAAATGACTCAAAGCTGTGATCTACCCATCTCAAAGCTGCCAACCGCAATGGGTTTGCTGATGTGTATCTGTGTGTGTGTGTGTGTGTGAATTCCAAGGCCCCCTCTTCCAGCCCTTTTAATGTTACCAGTCCAAACTGAAGCCGCAAAACTCCACCTAGATCCCTTTGATTGATGGAAGGAGAGATAAGAGGGTGGGGGGGAGAGAGGCTGGGGGGGGACATGCACCAGCATCATCAATCGTATTTTATCTCTGACGCAAAGCAAATGCACCATTCTTTTTTTTTTTTCCAAATCTAATCACGTAACTTGACTGCGGCCATGAACCAGCAGAAAGGGGGGGGGGAAATAGGAGAATATTGTTTTTTAAATATCCAGAACCTTCCGTATAGCTATGCCTCAACTTATAACGCTTCGTTTAGTGACTGCTCGAACAGTTAACAACAGCGTGGAAAAAAGCAACTTCATGACCGTTTCTCACGCTGACGACCGTTGTGACGTCCCCGCGGTCGCACCTTCAGATGCTCGGCCACTGACTCGTATTTATGACGGTCGCAGCGTCCCCCCCGGGATCACGTGATCCCCTTTTTGCGACCTTCTGAGAAGCAAAGTCAATGGGGGGGGGGGGAAGCCAGATTCACTTAACAACTGTGTTACTAACTTAACAGCTGCGCTTCGCGTAACAACTGTGGCAAAGAAAGGTTGTAAAAGGGGACAAAAATCAGTTAGCAACGTAAAGTTTGGGCTCAATTGTGCTCATTTAAGTCGAGGACTGCCTATCATAAATAAGGAGCAACGATGCATTTAAAAAACGCTAACACCCCCCCCCATCGTTCTGATTAGTTAAAACTAACGTAAAATCGCAGAATAATAAGGAATATATATAATACAGTATCTGACATTAAAAAAATAATAACCAATTATAATGCTGAGGGACGGCCATTCCCTGCTCAAACAAGTTCAGTTACTCTTAATTCTTCTTTCTCTAGCCTGGGGTAGGCAACCTTGGCTCTTTTATGACTTGCGGACTTCAACTCCCAGAATTCCTCAGCATGTATGGGGGAACTATGGCCCCTTCATGACTTGCGGACTTCAATTCCCAGAATTCCTCAGCATGTATGGGGGAACTATGGCCCCTTCATGACTTGCGGACTTCAATTCCCAGAATTCCTGAGCCAGCAGGGGGAACTATGGCCCCTTCATGACTCGTGGACTTCAACTCCCAGAATTCGTGAGCCAGCATGGCTCAGCTTGGAAACCTCTCCCTTTCCCCTCAGCATGGCTAGCTCAGGAATTCTGGGAGTTGAAGTCCACACATCTTAAAGTTGCTGAGGTGCAGAAAAAATGGACTAGGCCAGGGATAGGCAACCTTGGTTCTTTTATGACTCGTGGACTGCAATTCCCAGAATTCCTGAGCCAGCCATGCTGAGGAGAAATGTAGAGGTTTCCAAGCTGAGCCATGCTGGCTCAGGGATTCTGGGAATTGCAGCCACGAGTCATAAAAGAGCAAAGGTTGTCTACCCCTGGGCTACCCATTCTTTTTCTAAAAGTAACTTTTGGGGAAATGGCTTTGGCCAAAAAGGGCTGATGTTTTGGACACTCTGCTCAAGAGCCGGAAAAGTCCTTCTCCAGCCCCCTGGATGCCCCAAAGGAGAGGAGAGAGCAAACAGGTGGTAGCGAGAGAGGAACAGAAAGATAGAAACACAGAAAGAGTGCAGAGAAGAGCAACAAAGATGATGAAGGGACTGGAGGCTAAAACATACAAGGAACGGTTGCTGGAATTGGGGATGTCTAGTTTAATGAAGAGAAGGACGAGGGGGGGACATGATGGCAGTATTCCAATATCTCAGGGGCTGCTATAAAGAAGAGGGAATCAAACTATTTTCCAAAGCACCTGAAGGCAGGACAAGAAGCAACGGGTGGAAACTCATCAAGGAGAGAAGCAACCTAGAACTAAGGAAAAATTTCCTGACAGTAAGAACAAATAACCAGTGGAATTGCTTGCCTCCAGAAGTTGTATTTAAGAGACTGGACAGCAGCAGCAGCAACAACAACAACAATAATAATATTGGAAGGGACCTTGGAGGTCTTCTAGTCCAACCCCCTACTCAGGCAGGAAACCCTATACCATTTAGGACAAATGGCTGTCCGGTCTCTTCTTAAAAACTTCCAGTGTTGGAGCATTCACCGCTTCTGGAGGCAGGTTGTTCCACTGGTTAATTGTTCTAACTGTCAGGAAATTTCTCTTTATTACGAGGTTGCTTCTCTCTTTGGTTAGTTTCCATCCGTTGCTTCTTGTCCTCTCCTCAGGCGCTTTGGAGAAGAGCTTGACTGCCTCTTCTTTGGGGCAGCCCCTGAGATACTGGAACATGGGTATCATGTCCCCCCTCGTCCTTCTCTTCATTAAACTAGACATCCCCAATTCCAGCAACCGTTCCTTATATGTTTTAACCTCCAGTCCCCTAATCATCTTTGTTGCTCTTCTCTGTACTCTAGTTCTAGAGTCTCCACATCTTTTTTACATCGTGGTGACCAGAACTGGATGCAGTACTCCAAGTGTGGCCTTACCAAGGCCTTGTAAAGTGGTATTAATCCTTCACATGATCTTGATTCTCTCCCTCTGTTAATGCAGCTTAGCACTGTGTTGGCTTTTTTGGCACTGCAGCACACTGCTGGCTCCTATTTAAGGGATCGTCCACTAGGACTCCGAGGTCCCTCTCACAGTTACTACTATTGAGCAAGGTACCCCCTATACTATATCTTATTTTATTTTATTTTATCTTATCCTTTTCTTTACTGTTTTTTACCTATTCTTTAAGAAATGTAAAAGTGTTGAGATAGTTTACATGGGAAAAATAGATTTAAATCTTTAAGTGTAATTATCTGTTGAGAAAATCTTAACCAGCAAGAATGCTTTGAACTTTATGGGAGAAGCAAATCTAAATAAGGACCGTAACCTCAGACTGTTTGGAGAGCAGAAGACACCACGGGGCTCTCTGCGTGGCCGAGTACAAATAAATATGTGGGGCTGTTTTAAAAAAATAAAGATCACGCATATTCAGGAGCAGAATGGAACAAGGAAGCCCACAACCCACCAGGATATTATTAAAGGAAAAAAAAAAGAGAGCGAGACGCAAATCAGAAAGAGATCAACGATGCAGCATCATCCATAATTATTCTACATTTCACAGCTGCTGCACACTCCAAGTGGGAACCGGAGACCGGTTAGCGCTTAAAAAATAAGAGCAATTATCTCCCACATTTCACTACAGACAACCAAAAAGCCACCATCATTTAAGTGTCTTAAGAGATTTTTTTAAAAAAACAAATAATACGAGTCTGTGATAACATGCAAAGAAGAACATTGTTTAACCTACCAAGAGCCTGCGGGCGAATTGCGTCGGAAACATGAAACTGCATTATCCAAAGTTGCGGGTGCTCCATCACTGGAGTTTTTTAAGAAGAGGCTGGACAGCCACTTGTCTGAAATGGTAGAGGATCTCCTGCTTGAGCAGGGGCTGGACTAGAAGACCTCCAAGGTCCCTTCCAGCTCCTATTCTGTTCTGTTCTATTCTTTTATGTTCTGTTCTGTTCCGGACAGTGAAAACAATTATCTAATGGAACTGCTGGCTTTCAGAATTTGTAGGTGCTCCAACACTACAAGACCTCCAAACGTCCCTTCCACTTCTATTCTGATTGACGGATCGATCGATGCAGGACATCCGTCAAACACCCACCGCTAGCTGCAAATATTTACAAATATTCCAAAGCAGTTTTTGTGGTCTCTCCATTTTACCGTTTCTCACCTCTAAAGAGATCGGCATTGATGGACAAGAATATTTTTGCTTTCTGGATGGGAGTTGCAGACAAGTCTCTGGAATCGAATGCTTCAAGCTTGCCCCTTTGTTGCTCTCAAGAGGAAACACATCTGGAGCATCCCCAAAGACGCTGGCTACGTTGGGACAAAAAACGGCGTCGGCATTGACATTTCAAGACCCAGCAGTTTGGCGAGAGAACTTTTTTTTCTCCTCTTTTCCAGCATGACCCTCTTTACAATAGAATAGGATTCTGCTCAAGCAGCAGAATCCTATACCCAATCGAGGCTTTCTGCTGGGGAGAGCAGCCAGTGGGACAGCAACAAAATGTTGCAGGGGAGGCAGTGTGTGTCGGGGGGGGGGTTGTCTTTGGCTCAAGCCAAACGCTTCCCCTGCCAGGATTTACCACGTCATTGCACGGTTCTGTTCTGCTCCCTTAAAATTAGGCATAATTCTACCAACAATGAGAGTTGTAGTTAAAATTTGGGGAAGAGAGTGAAGGGTTCCCCCTCCCCCCCAAAAAATTTGGGTGCAGAGAGAAAACCTCTGCAAATCTGCATTTTGCAGCAAGCTGGCTGATTTGAAGACTTGTAGGTTTTTACTGCACTTATTCGATTATTGGCATTTCGGATCGACAGGAGCCACGCTGAGGATGGCAGGGACAGAAACACAGAAAATAATCCTGACAGAACAATTAACCAGTGGAACAACCTGCCTCCAGAAGTGGGGGATGCTCCAACACTGGAAGTTTTTAAGAAGAGACTGGACAGCCATTTGTCTGAAATGGTATAGCGTTTCCTGCCTGAGCAGGGGGTTGGACTCGATGACCTCCAAGGTCCCTTCCAACTTTTTTATTATTATTATTATTATATGCATGCATCGATACAAATAAATAAATAAACAGGGGTGGATTAAATCTATTACACCTGTTGGAAGCTGATCAGAGAGAGAAGCAACCTGATATTAAGGAGAAACTTCCTGACAGGGAGGACAATTAACCAGTGGAACAGCTTCGGAAATCGCAGGCGCTCCATCCTGGAAATTTTTAAGAAGAGACTGGACAGTCACCTGTCTTGAGATGATATAGGTCAGGGGTAGGCAACCTTGGCTCTTTTATGACTCGTGGACTTCAGCTCCCAGAATTCCTGAGCCAGCATGGGGGAACTACGGCCCCTTCATGACTGGTGGACTTCAAATCCCAGAATTCCCAAGCCAGCATGGCTCACCTTGAAAACTTCTCCCTTTCCCCTCAGCATGGCTGGCTCAGGAATTCTGGGAGTTGAAGTCCACGAGTCATAAAAGAGCCAAGGCTGCCTACCCCTGGCATAGGTTCTCCTGCTTGAGGGGGCTGGACTAGAAGACCTCCAAGGTCCCTTCCAGCTCCATTCTACTCTAAATCCGTTTCTGCAACCTTGTTCCCCATTCCTGCCTTTGCTCGTTCCTTATCGCCCGTTTGCTTTTTAAGGAATCTCATACAGGTGGCCCTCAACGTCCGGTATTACAAATTTTACGAGTTTATCGAAATAGAAAATAGAAAAAAAAATTTGTTGAAAACAACGGCAGGGGAAGAAAAAGGGAAAAATGTCGGGGGAAAGAGGGGGGTGGAAAAAAAGAAGAAAAGCATCGACTTCTCAATGGCTAACCCTATTTTATTTAAGCTCAATAGAATAAGATAACAACAGGCAACCGTTAACTTTTTTACTTTTACCTAGTAATACAGAGCATGCATTTCTAGCAGTCCTCCTCTTATGACAATTGGAACCAGCATCTCCATCGCTGAGCGAGGCAATCGTGAAGTGAGGCGTGCCCGATTTTTGAAAACTGTTTGGCCACACTTGTGAATCGCACGGCTGTTAAACGGGTTTGGCTTCTCCCCTTAATTTTGCTCGCTGGAAGACAGCTGGGGAAGATCACAAAGGGAGATCATGGGACCCAGGGACCCTGCCAGCTTCATAAAAATTTGGATCACCCGATCCCGGGAATTCTGCACAGCTTGTTAAGAGAGAGGACTGACTGCAAGCCGTTTTTTTTCCCCCGGTGCTGTTATAATTTGGAACAGCCGCGAAATGAACGGTTGTTAAGTCGAGGATTACCTGAAGCCTCTCCACAGCTTAAAATGGCAAAGGTTGAGAAAGAGTGCCCTGGATCAAAGGGATATGCATTTTTTGCATTTTTACAACCTGTGGACTTCCAACTCCCAGAATTCCCCCACCAGAATTCTGGGGAATTCTGGGAGTTGAAGTCCACAAGTCTTAAAGTTGCCAAGGTTGCACATTTCTGCCCTATGGGCTGAATAGAATAGAATAGAATAGAATAGAATAGAATAGAATAGAATAGAATAGAATAGAATTATTCCTGCCCTATGGACTGAATAGAATAGAATAGAATGGAATGGAACGGAATAGAATGACAGAATTGGAAGGGACCTTGGAGGTCTTCTAGTCCAACCTGCTGCTCAGGCAGGAAAGCCTACACCACTTCAGACAATAGAATAGAATAGAATAGAATAGAAATAGAAATAGAATCGGGAAGGGACCTTGGAGGTCATCTAGTCCAACCCCCTGCTCAGGCAGAGACCCTATATACCATTTCGGACAAATGGCTGTCCAGTCTCTTCTTAAAAACTTCCAGTGTTGGAGCATTCACCGCTTTTGGAGGCAGGTTGTTCCACGGATTAATTGTTCTCACTGTCAGGAAATTTCTCCTTAGTTCTAGGTTGCTTCTCTCCTTGATCGGCTCAGTTAATATGACTCCAGGCTACAAAACTACCAGCTCCTCTATCTTCTCCTCCCCTTTTAAAACTTCTGCTTACTGCACCAAACCATTTGCAAAATCCTGGGAACTTACCGTGATTCGTGTCAACATCACCAGCTTCGAAGCTTCTTCTCTTTCTTTTTTGTCCAACCGCAACTTAAATGTGTCACGTTCCACATTTTGAAGGCTGTTTGCAATTTCCAGGAAAAGAGAGAGAGAGAGAGAGATTGCACCAAGGCATAAATCCAGATCTGGGAAGGAAGAAACAGACACGCCTTCTGACCTTCCAATTATTCCTGCAATTTTTACAGCTTGTCTCTCAATCCAGCCTGGATGGGAGGAAATAAAACTCTAGACATGCACGGAGCACTGCGGTTTTAATCTCAAGTGGCGTCCTTGAGGCTGTGTTTGCAAGACTTGCGCTTGGAGCAATTGCTAAGCTTCCCATCTGTGCTTCCCGCAGCACCCAGGGGATACGCCGAGGGAATCGACCCTCCTCCAAATATGCTGGACTACAGTTCCCATCCTTTCCGTTTAAATACGATGGAAGTCTCATTTTTCTGAAGGCAGAATTGTATTTGGAGAAATGTGCCGTGCAGTGGAGAGGTTTTCCTGCAGGTCACAATTGAGGAACAGCCATCTTCTGGTGTTTCCCAAGAGGTCACCAGAGCAGCCTTCCATCCTAGCCTACCTCACAGGCTTGTCGTAAAGAAGGAAGTAGGTATTCCGTTCCCGTTTTTAGAGACAGGAGACTGAAGCATGGTAGCAATGGGGGGGGGGGGGAAAGAAACCTTCCATTCAGAAATTCAAAATTTAAGGTTGTGCGTTCCCAGTTGGAGGCTCTGGACCCCCCAGAGCTTCTGGCCTGACCTTCTGGAGGATGAGGAAGCCCTTGGTGATCTCTGAGCTTGGTTGTTTTCTTGCAGACGTTTCATTACCCAACTATATAATATCATCAGCCACTAGCATCCAGAAGCGGTGAATGCTCCAACACTGGAAGCTTAAGAAGAGACTGGACAGCCATTTGTCTGAAATGGTAGAGGGTTTCCTGCCTCAGCAGGGGGTTGGACTAGATGACCTCCAAGGTCCCATCCAACTGTCATTCTATTCTATTCTATTCTATTCTATTCTATTCTATTCTATTCATTTTCTTTATTTCCATTCCATTCATTTTCTATAATTCTATTCTTTCTCTATTCTGTTCTTTCTATTCTATTCTTTCTCTATTCTATTCTATTCATTTTCTATTTCCATTCCATTCATTTTCTACAATTCTATTCTATTCATTTTCTATTCTGTTCTTTCTATTCTATTCTTTCTATATTCTGTTCATTCTATTCTCTTCTTTCTCTATTCTGTTTATTCTATTCTATTTTATTCTTTCTCTATTCTATTCTATTATTCTATTCTATTCATTTTCTATATTTACATTCCACTCATTTTCTATAATTCTATTCCATTCATTTTCTATATTTACATTTCATTCATTTTCTATGTTTACATTTCATTCATTTTTTATAATTCTATTTTATTCTATTCCATTCCATTCCTCAGGAAACGTCTGCCAGAAAACAACCCTTTATTTCATCCCACAACTGCAAATATTCTCCCTTATTTTGTTACCAGCCAGCGTCAAGGCGCAGCCCAGCCAGCGATTCAAGCGTCCGGTCCGGCCGCCAGCTTTCCAGGTTGCGCGTCCAGCGGGGCTTTTGCTTCCCTCCTCCCAGCCCCGGATCTCTTCGGGATCTCCCCGGATCCCGGCTTGGATCCATCCCCTTCCGCCTTGCAAAATCCCCAATGCCTCGTGGCTGCAGGCAAGCGCCGGAGCGAGCCCCAGCCATCCTTGCAGCCGTCCAAACGCGCTCTTCCCCCTTCCCCCCGTCTCGCGTCCTTCCCGAGGAAGGCCCCCGGCCTCTGAGCACGTGCAGAGTGCCGGCCCCCTCGAGCGAGGCTGGGAATCGGCCGGAGCGCCTGGCTGGCTGGAGGGCGGACGGCAGCCCCGGGACTCACCTGTCCGGATCCAGGTGTGTTAGAGACGCCCCCCCTTGTGCGGCTGGAACGGGGAGGGGGGTCTTCGCTCGGTCGGCAGCCTCTGCCCGGTCGCCCGTCGAAAGCGAAGCTCGGGCAGCGTGCGAAAACCGGTCCGGCCGCTCTTTTAAAGCGCCACCAGGGGGCGTGTCCGCCTTACCGCGCCCCCTAGCGGCCGCTTCCCCCGCAGGTCTCGGCGGGGGCTTCAGATGAGCGCTTCCCGGGCGAATCCATCAATCCATCCATCCATCCATCTATCGATCAGAATAGAGCTGGAAAGAATTAGCCTTTCTCGAGATTGGGATTTTTTTTTTTTCATTTGGGTATAAACGGGAAAAAAAATACAGTTTCCACCCCACTTGGCTCTCAATTATTTTACAGTTAAAGTAGTAAAAAGTATTGCCATAATATGATTATTCTGTTTTTATGCCCTAAGAGTGAAACCTGCACGAAACAAAAAGTAACTGGGGAAAAGTCAATCTCCTCTTTAGATTTTCACTGGACTCTGATTTGAATGAAGTGCAAGGATTTAAGGAGAACGGAATGGAATGGAATAGTGTAGCAGAATAGAACAGAATATGGAATGGAATAGGAATAGGAATGTAATGAATAGAATAGAATAGAATAGAATAGAATAGAATAGAATAGAATAGGAATGTAATAGAATATGAATAGGGATGTAATAGAATAGAATATAGAATAGAATATAGAAAATAGAATAGAATATAGAATAGAATATAGAATAGAATATAGAATAGAATATAGAATAGAATGGGGAATTGGGAATAGGGAATAGAATATAGAATAGAATGTAGAATAGAACAGAATATAGAATAGAATATAGAATAGAATATAGAATAGAATAGAATATAGAATAGAATATAGAATAGAATGGGGAATTGGGAATAGGGAATAGAATATAGAATAGAATGTAGAATAGAACAGAATATAGAATAGAATATAGAATAGAATATAGAATAGAATAGAATATAGAATAGAATATAGAATAGAATGGGGAATGGGTAATAGGGAATAGAATATAGAATGGAATATGAATAGAATATGAATAAAATAGAATATGAATACGATATAGAATATGAATAGAATAGAATATGAATAGAATGGAATTAAACAGAACAGAAAAGAATAGGAATTATAGAAAATGAATGGAATGGAACGGGACAGGACAGCACAGAATAGAAATAGAAATTTCTCAAGCAAGGTCAGCAGGATTGTCTGGCACATTACACATCCTCTCCACGATCTGTTTGCCTTGCTACCTTCTTGTGTGTGTGGGGGGCGGGGAGGCTGGCTTTGTGGTATCCGAAGCAGAACATCCACATTCAGTCACAGTTTCGTTCCCTGCAGTATTAAAACCTTGTGAACTCTAAAACTTCCTCTTTCCGTTATGTATTTAAGATGAAACGGTGATTAATATTTATATGTATTGATATGTAAAGGTGTAGGCATATACATATGTTGCATATAGCATGTTTATATCTGTATTATCTAGATGTACATTTTTGACAGCAGGCAAACAGAATTTCATGTCTCACATGTGTCAGTTTGCCCATGGTGAAAAATGACAATAAAGATTATCTATAGAAATAGAAATAGAACAGGACGGAATTCTTTATTGGCCAAGTGTGATTCGATACACAAGAAAAGCTTGTAACAATAATTACTATTATTGTTATTGTTATTCTAATAGTTATTATTGGACAAGTGTGACTGGACACACAAGGAATTTCCTTGAATTGTGTGTGGTCCTCCCTGTCCTGACCACGGATAGTTCTCGTGTTGTGACCACAATTGAGCCCAACATTTCTCTCACTAAGTGAGACATTTGTTAAGTGAGTTTTTGCCCCGTTTTATGGCCTTTCTTGCCACCGTCGCTAAGCGAGTCACCGCGGCTGTTAAATTAGGAACACGGTTGTTACGTGAATCGGCCTTCCCCATTGACTTTGCTTGGCAGGTCGCAAGAGAGGATCACGTGACACACACACACACACACACACACACACACACACCCTGGGACACTGTGACTGTCATAAATACAGGCCAAGCGGGTGAATTTTGATTGCGTGAACACGGGGATGCTGCAGCAGTCGTAAGTGTGGGAAACTGTTATAAGTCAGTGCAGCTGTAACTTCAAACGCTCACTAAACGTGTCAACGCTGCTAACGTTTTTGCACTGACAACAGAGGGAAATGGAGCCCATTTTTTCCCTTTTGCTTTTAGAGTTAGTTGATGCTGGGAGGGGGGATGTGAACGAGAGTCTAGCTAAACATAACAACACTAAACTGAGGGTGAGAATCAAGGTTATTGTAACCAGAGCTGATAAGGAATTGGCGGGCTGGAGAACTGGAGAGAAGGCCTGCGCTTCAAGCTAATTGGGGAATGTGATTTATGACTGTTAATTGGAGGAGGGAATTGTGCTTAGATACTATGTGCTCAAGGGAGGGGAATCCAGTTTTTGGCTTCGATTATGTAGTGCCGATATTATGCTACTCGAATAAAAGATTCCTTAAGGTAAACAATGCCTCAAAGTTCTTTCGAAGAGCTTCATCTGTCAGAACCAGGACAGAATGAATTGCTGTAATTCGGGGGGTACCTGTAGTCAAATCTTTGTGAAAATTAATTGATCCCTTTCTGACATTTGGTGAATTGACAAGTATTAATACCACTCTTCAATGCCTTGGTAAGGCCACATTTGGAATACTGCATCCAAGTTTTGGTCACCACGATGTAAAAAAGATGTTGAGACTCTAGAAAGAGTACAGAGAAGAGCAACAAAGATGATTAGGGGACTGGAGGCTAAAACATATAAGGAACGGTTGCGAGAATTGGGTATGTCTAGTTTAACGAAGAGAAGGACAAGGGGGGACATGATAGCAGTATTCCAATATCTCAGGGGCTGCCATAAAGAAGAGGGAATTAAGCTATTTTCCAAAGCACCTGAAGGCAGGACAAGAAGCAACGGGTGGAAACTAATCAAGGAGAGAAGCAACCTAGAACTAAGGAGAAACTTCCTGACAGTGAGAACAATTAATCAGTGGAACAGCCTGCCTCCAGAAGCAGTAAATGCTCCAACACTGGAAGTTTTTAAGAAGAGACTGGACAGCCATTGTCCGAAATGGTGTAGGGTTTCCTGCCTGAGCAGGGGGTTGGACTAGATGACCTCCAAGGTCCCTTCCAACTTTACTATTATTATTATTATTTGGTTAATGAACTGGGCTAGCAGGCTTTTCCTAGGACTAAACTTAATTTGTTTATAAAATATTATAAGATCCTCAGCTGATTCTCCTGAGCAAACTAGCATGGGATTTTTTTTTAATTGGTTTCTCATTAGAGTGACTTAGATACTAGAGCAACAGATGCCATTTAGTATTTTTAATTTAAGTTTACATCTGCTTTGGGAAGGGTTTGGTTTTGAACCGCAGGAGAAAAAGAGATTAAATGCTGATTACACATCCGGATTTTGAGAGTTCGGGAAATAAGGGGCTGCAAAGCCCTCCTCTCTCAGATTATATTATTCAGCTATTGTTTAAAACTCAATTGCTTTAATAAAATAAGATTAAATTCTTCTTGGAACTGAGCTGGTAGCAAAATACACACATCTGTAGAGCTTCTTTTAGCAGCAATCTGCAAAGAGTTTGCCCCGGATCTCTCCAGGGGTGGAATTTTTATTTTAGCAGCTTAAGATTAATAACAACAACAACAACAAAATTGGAAGGGACCTTGGAGGTCATCTAGTCCAACCCCCCACTCAGGTAGGAAACCCTATGCCATTTCAGACAAATGGCTGTCCAGTCTCTTCATGAAAACTTCCAGTGTTGGAGCATTCACAGCTTCTGGAGGCAAGGAGTTCCACTGGTTAATTGTTCTCACTGTCAGGAAGTTTCTCCTTAGTTCCAGGTTGCTTC